CGAATATGCCCATTGTGTTTTCCTTTAATGGCTCCATCGAGTGAAAATTTTTATGAATGGGTAGCCTTAATGTATACTGCTCGTACGAATGAAGGGTTGGTTCAAGTGGTAAGCGGTTTGTTCCAGCTTAAGCAAGTTTTCGAGTTCGAGACCTTATGTACACAACAATCCCGTTGGGAGACTCACCCACCATTTTCAGGTGCGCGACGCGAGTCGGGTCCGAATTAATCGGGGTAAAACTCCGGATATCGGACGGAAAACCAAAATTTGTAGAAGTTGGCTTCATAATCAGTGTTAATATCAAAAAAACAAGGCAATTCTGTAGTTATAATATTAGGTGTAGTTATAGTGTTATGTATAAAATTATTACTATATAATTATAACATATAATTAATGAAATAAATATATATAATATTATAAATATTTTTTAATTAAAAAAATTTAATTATGTAATAATATATTATAATTATAAATTTATAATATCATATAATATTTTAGTTATATTATTTTTAAAAAGATAGAAATAGATTTGATAGTTCTAATAAATTAGACAAAAAAGACCACCTAAAATTGAGGGTTTGAAAATAATTTAAGAATAATTGACTGTCCAAAATCAATTGGCTTGCATTTCATGTCCATTTCTAAGAAACAACGATTATAAAATAAAAATATTAATGTAAGAAAGTAAGAAGTTTTGTTTTTCACCTCATTCATTAAATTTTAATTGTTAAAGAAATGATAAATTCTTTAATTTAGGTGTAAATAACTAATTTTTTATTAAATTAAAAAGAGATTAATATCTTGATATGCACAAACTTTAATTGTTAATTAAGCTAAATAATAATAATAATAATACGACGAAAAAACTGGTAGCTGCTGCTATGGATCATTCGAGTTGATGGCATGAGTTTTTTATGGTCTACGAAAGGAATTGCTCCCATTATATAAAAATAAACTTTGTCAAATTTATACATAGAAATACCATCTGTACAAGGATTAGAGTAGAGTGAATCTGGGAATCAAAATTTTTTGACAAAGATTTTGGACTGACAACAGCAGATGCTCAAAGTAAAATCAGATTCAGAATACAAAGTTGACACGGCTGTCAAAGAGATACGACAAGACGAGTTGTTAGGCTTGGACCAATTGGTTCCAAAACAACTGAATAGAGCTCACGCTTCATTGGATTAAGACAAAAATAAAGAAAAGAAAGGAAAAGAAAGAAATGAAGAAAGAGCAGGGCTAAATTACATTGCCAAGTGCCAACGCAATAGTCAAGGGCGGGGGGTAGAGAACGAGTCCTAGCCCCAAAACTCTCTTCTTTTTGTTTCTCTTTACCACCTAACTCTTTTTTTAAAAAAAAATTTTCTGCCTTAAATTTTTAAAAATTTCTATACTTTTCATGTAAACCTTAAGGATTTATACTCCTATATTTTAGATTTTTTCTACTCCTCTAAAAATTTTTCAAATTCTAAAGCCTTAAAATTGTAGGTCCTACCAATTAAAAAAAAAAATATATGGAACCAAGCAATTTTAAACCTTATTGGTTAAAACGAGCAAACAATAATGTAAAGTAGGCTCAAAAAAACAAGAGAATTGTGTTGTGTTGGGTTGGGAAAAGGATTTTTTTAATTTTTTTATATCAGAAAGGATTAATAAATTATTAATAAATAAATAAATGAAACGTTGTTGTTTTACTCAATTAAACCAAAGTAAAAGGGATTGTCTTCTTCTTTAGCCCTAACCAAAATGACAGATGTATGAAGACTATCACAGCAAATCACGAACATCAAGGAAAACAGGAAAGAAAGTCACACAACCAAAAAGGAAATAGACAAGTACATGATCAACAAGGAAAGAACAAGGAAGCAGAAATCACAAATCAAGAGCAAAGGATTCAGAAATCAAATATCAAAGCAAGCAACGGTCAAGAGATAACAAAAATCAAAACAATTAATAGAATGATTTTCCATTGTAGTAAATCAAGGCCAAATGCACTAATTTAGGGGTTGAACGTTGGCCATATATGTATATATATTCTTATGTTGAACATGTATTAGATACAGAGAAATATACAATCTCAGTTTCTTTTCTTTTAAGTCTTTAAAGTCTTACGAGACAAAGTAAAAAAAAATAAATAAATCTAGCCCTACTTTTCCCCTCAGTAATCCGCATGCGAGTGCACGAGTGTTGTGCCTCCTTTTAATTATTCTTTTGGCTCTTTTTTATTTTGTAAATAATTTATATTGTATACTCAATATTTTTATTGGACTATAACTTTGTTCAATTTTGGGTAAATAGGTATAGGTATGTTGAGATTTTGCATAAATAATGACATAATTTTTTAAATTATTTTAATTAAAGATATGATTTTTCTTCTTTATTAATCAAGTTATTATTTTTTAAAAGTTTTTAATTAATGATATAATCTTCGCAACTTGCTTTTTGTATTGTTCATGTTGTGCAGGATTATGCGGCAAGTTTTTAAAAATATAAATAGAGAAATATGTTTGTAATCTAAACTATACAAAAAAAAAAAAAAACTTTTTTTATTTAAGCTGTAAATATACTCATGTATTCTTAATAAACCTTCCATGTGTTTTAGTTCATGAAGAATATTTTAAGATTATCAAAATTCGAACAACAAAAGAACTGACTGAAAAAAAAAAAAGAAAAAAAAAAAGAGGTCAAAATTCAATAGGCAGAATACCCAAATCCACCCCCAAAGTATAGTGGTAGGGACGGATCCACCCTCGAACAAAAAACGGAGACAAATCCACCCACAAAGTTTTCGACTTGGACAAATCACCGCAAATTTAACGTGTGATGTCATTTGACATCAGCAATCTGTTAATTTGACGTCATCTGA